TTAAAACAAGTTATACTGGGGGCATATTTTGTTAAAAAAAAAAATCTTGGTTTTGTTTTTTTTTAATGATTGTACTGCTACCCTAGATTTCTTCCATGAAGCGTTATTTTGTTAGGCATATTGTTGCCCATTATTACCCGTTAGGTCACAGCGCTTTCAGTTTTGTTAAGTTTCTTCTAGGTGAGATGAAAGCCTGAACTTTGAGCTAATGGTTCAAGCAGGTAGATTTTCTGAAGATTTCACTGAAAATTTTGGATAAATACATTTTTGTATTAGGTTATATTATAGCTTTTATATAAAAGGGATAAGTTCAGTAATGTTTTTTGGTGCAACATGAAGTCTTAATGAGGTTTTTCTCACTGATCATTAACTCATCTCTCCTTTCCCCTAATAAACAGAGCACTTTTTATTTTTCAAGTTCTTTTTAAATCATTGATTACCGACAGGTATAACACTGAATAAGTACATTGTACATACAGACTGACAAATTGTTTTAATGCAAATATTGTAACAGAGAACATTTCAAAGCTTTGAGGCACAGAAGAAAGAAAGGAAAGCAAAACTGTCCACAGTTTCTGTTCTCTTGGCAGTTGTTTGATCCTACTGTATGCTCTTACCTTTCCTCTAAGAACTTCCAGTAATAATGAGTGCCCTTGTGCAGTTGTTGACCATAGGTAATGAAGTTTAGTAGTAATAAGGAAGCTTCCCTTTTTTGTAACAAAATATTTTTATTGACCCTTGCCTTCTGGTGTGGGGCTTCCCTGGGAGCTCAGCTGGTCAAGAATCTGCCTGCAGTGCAGGAGACCCAGGTTCGATCCCTGGGTCAGGAAGATCCTCTGGAGAAGGGAATGGCAACCCACTCCAGTCTTCTTGCCTGGAGAATCCCATGGACAGAGGAGCCTGGCGGGCCGCAGCCATGGGGTCCCAGCCGGAGACTCCATTCCACCACCGCCCCCTGGTGGTTCGAAGGCGCAGGCTCTCTGGGAGGGCGCTCGGGCTCCCGCTGCGGAGCGGCCACGTGCCGCCCGCGCCTGGCATCCCCGGCAGCTCGGTACACAGCAGCGACTGTCACCTGGGGTGTCTACATCCTGGGTCCCTCATAACTTTCCTCTGATATTGAAGTCATAAAGTAACCAGTTCACAGCCGGTTGAGAGGCTAAAGAAAACCGAGTGAGAGCGGCCAGCGCGGTCGTACTGTCTCTCCCTAGATGAGGGAGTTTAATGGTGGCTTCATGTAGTAAAACTTTGCCTGTTCGCTGTGTAAAATATTTTCCTGAGAAATTCAGGCTTGCAGGTTATTATACTAGCATAGTTAAGAGGGGTTATGCGACAGTATATACTTTTTTCTTTTTTAATAAATGGAACAAATCACACCCAAAACCACATCTGAAATGTTAATAACAGGAAATTAAGAGATGATGGGCCTCTCCAATCAGGCTGAACTTTAAGCCTTTCTTTCTGACACTATTAAAACTCCACCAGATGGGCTTTATTTAATTTGTACCTTTTATTCAGTCTTGCTAATAAGGTGTTTTTTTTTTTTCAGTCAGAAAGTAGTCTGTGTATTAAGAGCTTTTGTTTACATTTCTGAAAGTAGAATGTTTTTTCCCTTGAAAGAAGCTCCAAGTGTAAATTGAATTGTGACCTCTCCATTAGTACCTGAAATAAATCACACACTGAACTATATTTGCACTTTTGATGACTTCCCAAGTAGAGTACACTTGTTTAGTGGGAGAATCTACAATAAATTTATCATCTGCTTTTAATTTGATAAGGTCTTCAGTGGCTTTTTTCATTACACATCTTTCTTAACTTGATTCAGGATTTTTAGCTTCTTACAATCCTAATCAATTCAGGGTCAGATTGGTAAAACCACAGCTATCTATATACAAAACAGACACTACCAGCTTCACTTTGGTAGCACTCAGTAATATGGGAGACTACTGCTTTTGAGACTCCCTAAAGATATGTTCTAGATTATCTTAACACAATAAAAATTAACCAGTATAAGTCAAAGGTTCCTCATTCCAGCTTACGTCTTTCAGCCCCTGCTTCATGCAGATCCAATTACAAAAGGCCCTTGCAGAAGTACGCTAAAGGGAGAAATGGTCACTCAGTCTGAAACAATTTGTTAATTATAGTAGAGTTTGTAATGTTAGCCTACTGTTTGTCCTTACGGGGCTTTGTTTGTAAATACATTTGACTGCAAATGCTGCCTTCTGTTACCGTTCACCCTGCCACTGCTGGAGGAGTGGCCCAGTGACGCTTTGCTCCCAAACCTCGGTGCTCCTGGCGCCCAGATCCAGCGTCCAGCCCGGCCGCTGGGATTCTAAAGATGATTAGTGCTGCTGTGGAATATTACAACGAAGAGTAAAAGGTCCAGGACACACCTAGGTATTTACATTTCAAAGTAGAGCCTGTTTGGCTTTTGTGTAACCCAGGCCCTGGCTCAAGCCGAGCTGGATTCTTGCCAAAGTGGGCCATCCCTGAGGCGACAGGAACAGTGCTCTTAGAGATGCTTCATAAATCCCAGCATGCAAAGATCTTTGAGATCCAAGCAGACTGCATCTAGCTGGTAGTTTTCTCACCAGTGGGAGCCACACTGCAGAGAATTAGCAAAGCTGAAGCCGTTAGCTGCAGTCGTGGGGCTTTGTCCAAATGTGGCCAGCCATGCCTATCTAGCTCAGCATTGGAAAATGGTTTTTTGAGATAGCACCTTCAGGATCAAGTCCATTTATATCAGGCAGAGCTATTGGTGAATCAGATTCGGATTCTTTATCAGCCACAAGAGAGGATACCCATTTGAAGGTAGAGGTGTATAAGCGAGGAGGAAAATAGGAGATTGAGGGTTATGATTTAGGGTAATAACTTGCTCAGTAGAGGACACATTCTACTGGGGGGATGGTGTTTTATGTCCTGACTTGTTCCAGAAAGTGCGTAGCCGTCCAGAGCGTGCTGACAGGCGGAGCTGAGGGGATAGTGTTTTATGTCCTGACTTGTTCCAGAAAGTGTGTGGCCGTCCAGAGGGCGCTGACAGGCGGAGCTGAGGGGATGGTATTTTATGTCCTGACTTGTTCCAGAAAGTGTGTGGCCGTCCAGAGGGCGCTGACAGGCGGAGCTGAGCTTGTTAGGTTTGGTTTTTGGCCGGGTCAGGCAGCTTGGGCGATCTTAGTTCTGCAGCCAGGAATCGAATCCGTGCCCCCACGTGGGGAGCTCGGAGTCTTAACCACTGGACCCCCAAGGAAGTCCTGGAGCCGAGCTTCTTGGTTCTAAACATTCTGGCTGCTATTATCTTTATAACTTCAGATTTCCTTTAAATAGTAGGAGTACTAGTGATTAGGAAATAAAGTATAACCTTTTCTGGAATTGTGAAGTGCATCTATATAAACAGTTAAATGCAGCTATTCTGATTGTGTTTGTTTTGATAATTTATCCCTCAGCTAAAAAGTTGCCAAAGAATGAACCACAGAATCCAGGAGCAAATTCTACCAGAGGCAGAGGAGTAGACCTGACTGAGCCCACACAGCCCACCAGGAGTCAGTGCTGCAGTAACTAGCCCTCCACGGAGATTCCGGGGGCGGCCTTCTGCCTCCTGATTGTCAGCAACAGTGGAATTGGAGCATTTAACCAGCCCAGTATGACTTCCAAAAAGAAGAGACTTAACAATAGTCAAGTTTCTAATACAGAATTATTTTAAGTGTTTTGAACTTAATTTTTAATGACATGCATGTGGCCCTCTGACTAGTGTTTCGGCGGTGGGAGGGGAAGTGAGAGCTGTGCGCACACTTGTTTCCTTGGAAGGTTAGCGGGACTCATTTCTCTTCTCCAGGGATGTAGACAAATGACTCTGAACCCACAGTGAACCAGCCAGTTCTGTGAAAAAAATTTGGAACTTACTCATTTGGGGTTTTCAGAAAAAACTTCTTGCTTTGGAAGGAGGTTCTAAAGATATTTATGCTTAGCTGCCATATCCAGGCAACCTGTAATTTCTCTTCATGTCCTTATTTAAAGTATACATTCCACATTTTAACAAATTCGCCACAAGGAAACAGTCCCATATCTTCAGTGGGAAAAGATGAACATTAGTGGCATCTAAATTATAGCTAATCCTGTTGTTTTATAAAATGGGGTAAAATGCATCTTAAAGGATAGTGTTCCCCTCAAACATGTGAGTTCTTCAGCAAAAATGAAGCAAACCAGGTGTCTGTGATTTACGTGTAATCACTGCTGGCCATTACACAGGTTTTGTTTGGGTGTAGGGAGGGGCCTTTGTGCCCTTTGGACATAAGTATAGTCAATGCACTAACAATTATGTACATTCAAACTTGATTGTTTTAAATTTGATCTTCAGCTGTACTGTAAATAGGGTACTGCACTGTAGTCTCCATATATGTTTATTACTTTTCTGTAATATTTAAGAGTTGCTTAAAAGTATACAAAATGTACAGTTACTAAAACAGCTAATTTTTTCCTTTTCTCCCCCTTTGAAAGGAAGGGGCTTCAATTGTTCCTCCCTGGCTAGAACCATAATAAAAAATGTACCAGTAATTTGTAACATGAGTATTGGATATGTTAGTAACAATCTTGCAGCCTTGTTTTCCAAAGTTCATTTAATTTTGATCAGTATATTGCACTAACTGTTTTAGGCATTTTCATTATATGAAATTACCATGTGTCAGAGATGATTTAATCTATTTAAGTGTTGATCTGCTAGCAGAACTTGTACATTTACAGTAACTCAAAATTAGTAAGGAAAACAGTTCACCAGTGTTTAGTTTTATATTGAGGTGCTCAGGTTGGAATAAAGTGGTATTAAAAAGCAAGTACTGGTTCTTCTCTTTTTTCACATGAACATATATAAATGGCATTGTGTAACCTGAAATCTGCTTTTATATTTTCTTCACTGCATTCTTAACAATTGTGGTATTGATGTGATGTTGTGGTACCTGGTTCATTGCCGCACTGTCTCCATACTTCTCTTCTCTGGATAACCAGAGCCTTTATGTCAGCAGCTGATGCTCAGTCCCGCTGAGAAGTATCACCATGACGGTGATGTTGTCTCTGGAGCCAGCCGCCAGAGCAGCGTTGACGAGCTCCTGGCTGATGGACGCGGCGGCACCATCATAGAAGTGCTGAGAGCCTAGTCCTCTCTGATTTTCTCTTGAGTCTCTTGGCTCTCTTTCCACACTGGTCAGTCCGTCGGTTCCTTCCTCACTGCAGGCATCACGAGTGGTCACTTTCGGTGGAAACAGCCCTGAACTTTCAGGGTCACAAATAGAATGTTTTGAAACTGACAGGTTTTCTTCTGAATTGACAGTTGACACGCATTCTGCAGATTTGCACTGAAACACTGTGTGGATGTTAGGCTCCGATTTCGATGTGGTTTGTTCACTGATGGGGCAAAGCAGAGACCCTCTGGGCGGTGACGGTTTGTTCCCCGCGGCAGGACCCCGCGTTTCTCTGTGCGCTTGGAAAGCTGACATGGTGAGTGCGGTGACCTCCTTTGTGTCCAGAACGTCCCAGAGCCCATCAGTGCCCAGGATGAGGAACTGACACAAGTCATCTATGGGCACAGAAATCGTCTGAGGTGCTGGAATGATGAATTTTTTCAGCTTGAGATCCCCATGGAAGCCAAGGCCGCGTGTGGTGGCCCTTTGCCCCTGGAGGAGGCCGTGCGGCGCGTTGGCGCTGATGGCCGCGCCCTGCCGGAGCACCCGCCGCCTCTCGTCCGTGTTCCGGGTGGTGTGCTCTTTGGTTAAGCGGAAGCCTTTCCCATTTCTGCATAAGACTGCTTGCACGTTACCTAGAAGATTATTTTAAAAAATTGGTCCTAGAGATTTATAACCAGTTGTATCAAAGCATGCTGTTAACTTCATTAATTTGTTCCAGAGCATAGACAGAAAGCAGGCCATTTAAAAATTTTTTAAAATATATGTAATACTCATATCATTATTAGATTTATAGTAATTCAGATTTCAAACTGGAAGGCTCATTTATTCCTCTTAGCAACTTAGTGTTTAAAATATATTTAGTATCGATAATGAAAAATAATCTTTATGAAGCGGCTTCTGAGTATTATATATAGAGTCAAGAATTAAACTTTTTTCTAATGTATAATTCCATAGAGCAGGTATTTTTTTAATGTTTTGATAAATGCCTTTTCAATTAAAATCAAGCTGAATTTTTTCTAGGAGTGGAGTTTGATAATTTTTTAACTGGTTAAAGTTAAAACCTGAATATATTATAGGTGTGGATGATTAAAAAATTATAATGCCACTGTTAGTATCCATCTTACTGGGTTTGTTATGTATGTTACAATTCAGTCAGCCAGCCCTGGGAAGAGAAAATAACGTGGCATTAGTGTGTGAAGTGGATAATATTTAGCCAACATTAAACCCTTTGAAACTGGGGTCTTAGAGTTTGTTCATGGTTCAGACAAACCTGTGATGTGTGCTTTATTGAAATACTAAGAAAATTTAAATGTCATCCTTTGAAACAGTTTGAAGGATGGTTGTATTACCAAACTTTTCTTTGGTATACAAAAGAAAGAATTTTTTTTTTTCATTTGTTAGGAAAAACTGATCTTCCTGAAGTTTTTAGGAACATAATTGTATGTTTATAATACCTACGAGAATTAATACTCCTGGAATCATAGGCAAAATTTACATTAGAATATTCTGATTTCAAGCATGGTACTGTACCTGGAGTCAGAATTTTGTTGTTGCAGCCCTTAGTTCCGAATCCCCTCATACTTTAGGTAGGGACTCAGGTGTCAGAGGGTGAGCCTCACACCCCTAGTCCGGACAGAACCTGAGCTGGTAAAGCACTAGCTCGGGCAGAGACTGAGCCTGTTGGCCTATTTACATAATGGAAACTGATGTCTTCTGGGCATTAGATTAATAATAGTATCTGATAATAATAATAGCTACTGGATGGGACCAAAAGATGATTATGTGGACAGTTTTGGAAACTTGATAACTCTGTAAATGATAGTCTTCAAAACTGCATGACCTCTTTTATTTATTTATGGTTTGGTTATTAACGATTTCTGTTAACTTTTCTGCTGGTCATTCTGTTTACAGAAGATAAATCAGTAAAATAATTCTTGGCTTTTGCTAGTTGTAAATTATGATTGTGCCAACAGTAAACTGAATTGTTCTGTTAGCAGAACACATGGTTCAGTTCCTCTTTTAAATTAGAAAATTTCTTTGTGTGTACCTACACATATAAATAGTGCGACCGTAGCTCTGAAAACGGGGGCTCACAATAGTGAAATCCACTGACTTCCTGAATGTTTTATTTGCATGTGGCATGCCAGAGCTCACTAAGCAAAAAGCACTGTCTCCTCTGTGGTTTGAAAAGAACTTAATACAATTATCTAGTTACAGCGGAAGGGAATAAACTGGTATTTTGATTTTAGTTGCCTGTGCAGAGAGCTTGGTAAAGATACATACTACTGTTTGCCTTTTTGTTGTTGTTGTTGTGCTACAGAGTAGGAAATGCCATTTTGGTTGATTTTATTTTTGTGAACATCCCTTGAGGTGAGCACAAATAAATTTCCAGAAATTGAGGACACTAAGTAATAGCTTCAGGTTTTGTCCTGCCGTTGATTTGCATGAGTGAGTCATTACTTTGACAGTTTATTCATCCTGATACATGCTGCCTTCTGAATAGCTCACATCCTTACCTGTGTGAATTTGCATGAAGGAAGGAGGGGTACCCGGTGTTTCTCAACTGTTCATGTGTAACTCAGGAAATACGGGATGATAAGGAAGACTACTCAGGCCCTGGAAGTGTATTCCTGGCACACAGGATGAAAAGTGGATGTGCAGCTGGTGGTTGCATCTCCTGAACCTTGGGCTGCTAAGCTGTCAGCTGCAAACGGAGTTCCTAAAAGCTATCAACTACACTGCTGAGAGCTAGAGTGGAATGATGAACAAAAAGCTTCAAGGAAAATAGGAAATTGAAGGGAGATTTAAAAATAACCCTCAATGTCCACGTGTCTTGGGAGAATTGAAGCAAAAGAGAAGAGCAAGGTTTGGCAGTTTGAGAGCGCAGTCGCCTTTCAGGGAGGGCCCCTGTGAAGCCTGGAGGAAAAGAGGAACGTGGTGAACTGCGACGACCCTCACCCAAGGCGTGGTGAGCCAGCAACACGGAGAGTTCACGTCCCTAGACACGAACTTAGCAGCTTTCAACAGCTGGAGAAACGGTGCTCTTCAGACAAAACGGAGCAGGGGACCAGAAGGGCCGCGTGTGCAGGGATGTGTGTCAAAGGGGAACTGAAGAGCTGCTCTGAGAGGACACGGGCGCCCTGAGAGCGTGCACATTCGTTAGCAAAGGGCGGGGAGGTAGCTCTCGCCTGCAGTTGCTGGGCTGTCTCCAGTTTGTGAAAAGGAAGTCTCCCTGGAACTTCAGAGTGACCTCTGGAATCCCATACAGGGAATTCTAGGCCTGAATGGGCAAGGTCAATTTTCTTTTTCCTTCAGATAAGGCCATTAAGTTCAGTGTTAAAAATAACAGGAAAGTTTTAGGAAAGGACTGGAGGAAAGAGGAAGAGAAATGTTCTGTGGTGGTAAGAAAAGGAAGCATCCCTCGTATGCCTGAGGCCCCGGGATAAAGGCTTGGTTCAGAAGCAGGACTTGGGACCAGAACCTGACGTGGGACATCAGTCCCAATTTTGTCGGTGTGTCTTTCATTAAGGCATTTTATTTCTCTGAGTAACATTTAACTATTAAGTAGACAGTTTTCACTGTACATTCAAAAAGGTTCCTTTGTTTTTGTAAGATGTGTAAGCATGAAACTCATCTGCACCATTTTCTGGCTGGAGTCTAAGGAGGACTTAACAGTTATCCTCAGCTAGCTGCCCAGTATTTGTTGTGTATGTATGAATCCATCACCAACCCACCCATTAAAAGGAAGGTGGGGAAGGAAACGTCTACAAACGGTGAATGTTTACGGGGTTTTTTTGTCTGCTTAAGATGACTCTGGAGTTGAATTGTGTTTTAGGGGAAAAGATGGGGCTGGAAATCATTTTAAAAGAAACTAAACTGTCTTTAAGGACAATCATTTCTAGATAGAATCACAACAAATGAAAATACCTGCAAACACAGCATCAGTCGTGAAATGAGAAAGGAGAGGACCTGGGAGTGGAGGGACGCCTCGGACACGGGAGGCTGCTGGCGAAGGAGCTGGGAGCAGAGGGGAGCGGCGGGTGCGGCCCGTGTGGGCGCGGCACCACAGTGGGCTCCTGGGACGGAGCCCCAGACACAGGAAGCAGTCGTTTCTGAGGCCTCGCTAAAAGGAGCGATGAACAAGAATGCATCATCCAGACATAAAGACACTGAAATAGCAGATACGCTAAAACACTTCAATGTCACGAAGGAACAGAATCTGTTAACGGCTGAACCCCCGAGTATGCCAAGGGCACAAGTCAGCCTTTAGCTGAGAGCATTTATGGAGCTAAATGCGTGACCTTGGACTTTTCACAGGATTATGGAACAGGAAACGAAGCATAGGACTTGTTTAGCTTGGGGAGACTAGTGGTTCTCCCCAACAAAGCTAGGACCACAGACGACCGTGCCCTCACTGAAATACTGAACAGAAATATATGCCCCTCATCCACCCTCCTAGGCCGCCAGAAAAATGAACTACTTTAAAAATTGATGCTGAACAGTGGAGGAAAGAAAGGGAACCACAAAGCATTTGGAAGCACAACCTTTTGTGTATCTGTAGTCCAGAAAATCTCAAATTGATAGTTTTAAGTCAGATTGATAGTGTTAACAGGCAGGGATCAGGCGGTGGTCAGAGTGTAGTCAGGATGACGCAGGCCTCAGTTAAATCCTCCCAAGTATTAACATGGGGAATTCCTCTGCTTCCGGCCAAGATACATTAACAGGGACTGGACTTACCCTCTGATCTGTGTTGAGGAGACAGAACTGAGAGTCCAGGGAGACCAAGGCAGCGAGACTTCACTGGGGAAAGAACCAGAGGGAAGGGTGCTCAGAGACCGCCAGGGGTCTGCAGAGACGCATCCCCAGGTGTTCAGCAAGGTCCTGATTGAGAAGCCTCCCCGGGTGTTCAGTGAGGTCCTGATCCATGTGTGTGAGGAACCCCCTGACCCCAGCACTGGCAAAGAGCTATCAGACCGATCAGCAGAGCGTGGCTGAGGACTCACACCAGTCAGACTAGAAAAACGCAGCGGTGGGTCAGTGAGTAGTGTCCTGAGGACGGGCTTGCCTCAACCCGAATCAGACGCTGCTCTGAGTTTATTGGACAAATTGTAAAATCTGAAAGGATCAAATGTTTCTAACTCCAACCTAGAACACAGCTCAGGAAGTTAAGAAAAAAAAATCCATATACTACCCCCCTTATAAGACCTGTGAATATGATTTTATTTGGAAACAAATCTTTACAAGTGTAAGTTAGGGTTTTGAGATGGATTATCCAAGTTGATCCTAAACCCAAAAAGTATCATCATAGAGGAGACACACAGTGAGGTGAAGACAGAGGGGTCTCCCCAGGAGTCTAGTGGTTAAGTCTGTGCTTCCAGATGTGGGGGGCGCAGGCTCCTTCCCTGGTGGGGGAACCAAGATCTCACCCCACATGCCAAGTGCCTGCCCCCCACCCCCAGAAAAAACCAGGAAGATACTGGGAGAGTTTTTAGCAACCATGGGGCTTTCCTACTGGCTCAGATGGTAAAGCATCTGCCTGCAATGCAGGAGACCCAGGTTTGACCCCTGGGTCGGGAAGATCCTGGAGAAGGGAATGGCAACCCACTTCAGTATTCTTGCCTGGAGAATCCCA